CAGCTGGCATATCGAGCTTGGATCAGGGGTCGTGCTCGGAGGGATCCCGATATCGACTCAATAAAAGCAGCCTACAATCAGGCTTCCAAGTCCTGTAAGAAGGCTTATATCAGAGCGGATGCCCAGCGCGTCGCACGTATTGGCCATGAGCTAGTTACGCACCCTACGGGCTCCCGTAGCTACTGGCGCCTCGCCAAGGCCATGCAAAACAATTTCTGCCAGCCCTCGCTGCCACCGCTTCGATGTCCAGATGGAACATTAGCTCACACAGCCGCAGGAGAAAGCCGACCTCTTGGCAAGCCTCTTCGCGGCTAATTCCCAAATCAATGACTGTAATGCACTGCCACCAACGTTACCTTCTAGTGGCTTCACTATGCCTGATATTCATATCAGGCAGCGTGATGTGCGTGCGGAACTACAGTCACTCGATGTCCGGAAAGCTAGTGGTCCTGATGGCATTCCTGCGGTTGTTCTAAAAATGTGTGCAGCGGAGTTGACTCCTGTACTTACGCGCCTATACCAGCTATCTCTTTCTTCGGGTCGTGTACCTGAGGCTTGGAGAGAGGCCATTGTGCAGCCAGTGCCTAAAAAGGGAGATCGGTCAGACCCTGCAAACTACCGCCCTATAGCTATCACCTCTGTGCTGTGTAAAGTCCTGGAAAGGATTATTAACTCCCAACTGATCCGATACCTAGAAGATCACTCCCTTGTAAATGATCGTCAGTATGGCTTTAGACCAAAACGATCAACTGGTGATCTTCTAACGCACGTCATGCACCTCTGGGATGAAGCTATCGACAAGTGCGGCGAGTCCTTGGCTGTCAGTCTTGACATTGCTAAGGCATTTGACAGGGTTTGGCACAAGGGACTTCTCTCCAAGCTTCCGGCCTACGGTCTGCCCGTTCAACTCTGCACCTGGATAACCGACTTCCTGCGTGAGCGTAAAATCCGTGTTCTTTCTGACGGATGCTCTTCACAGCTTATGTCAGTCAACTCCGGTGTGCCTCAGGGCGCCGTTCTATCCCCTACACTTTTTCTGCTGCATATCAATGACATGCTTCCACTTAAAAATATCCATTGCTATGCAGACGATAGCATAGTGCATGTGGGATATCACGGGGCTCCTACAGTCGGACGGGCGGAAATCCTGGAGAAAAGGGAGAATCTTGTCATTGAGCTCAATCACGTTCTGGATCTCATATCGAAATGGGGTGCTGAAAATCTGGTTGAGTTCAATGCCAAGAAAACTCAGGTTTGCGTATTTACCGCCAAGACCCCTCCATTCCCTTCCCTTCCCTCTCTTCAGGGCACAACCTTGCCTCTACAGAGCAGCATCAACATGCTCGGGATGGAAGTGCGCTGTGATCTGAATCCCAAAAACCACATCGAGTCCGTTATTAAAACAGCATCTCGTAAACTCGGTGTCCTGAATAAGGTGCGGCGTTTTTTCACGCCCGAACAACTGTGCCTGCTATACAAAACGCAGGTCCGGTCATGCGTGGAGTATTGCTCGCACCTTTGGGATGGCTCCGCTAGGTACTTACTCGATGCTTTGGATAGATTGCAGCGCCGCGCAGTACGCATTATTGGCAATGGTGAAGTCACCAAGAACCTAGAAAGCCTGCAACTGCGCCGAGACGTTGCTTCGCTCAGCGTCTTCTACCGTCTCTACCATGGTGAATGCTCTGAAGAACTCTTTTCGCTTATCCCTCCATCTCCCTTCCTCCTCAGGACCACACGTGCTGGTTTGCGTTGCCACCAACTAACTGTGGCAGCGATTCCTTCGCGTATAAAGAAATTTGGCGACTCATTTCTTTGTCGTACTACCAAAAAATGGAATTGTCTCCCGGCCCATGTATTCCCTCCTTCCTATGACATGGGGTCCTTCAAGCGGGGCGTGAAGAAGCACCTTGCAGGTCGGCAAGGTGAGGTTGGCTAGTGCAGTACCTACGTACTGTTTTCACTAGCTGTCCTCACGTTTGGACTACGCCTCCGCTTACCATCAGGTGGAGCGCAGTCATTTGCCCTCCTATACATAAAAAAAAAAAAAAAAAGCATAAGCTTACGATGTAACACAAGCACTTGAAAATGTATATCATCAAAATCGGACCCAATTTTATCTTCCGCTTGCATATCTGAGTCTTCTACAACACTTAATATGTCTAAATGTGCTTCCTGAAAATTATCTAAAATCATTGCACGGTAGAATAATGAACAATAAATTCGCACAACCGAGAAGAATTAAATTCCGTTGCATGAGCAATTTCCAGTGTTACGCAACCGATTAAATGCTAATATTCGTTTACATCGCAAAACCGTTAAGTCCGCGATAGAATAACCGCTAGGTTCAATAGATTTTGATCAACTTAATCGTCTACCACGTTTCGGATTAAAAGCTATATTTAATTTTAATACGAATAATCGAATCAAATTAATCGAGTCAAAAGTAATTCAATTGATAAAATCGATACTATTACGATATGTTAAGGATGACACTATTCGGTTCAGTCTAGGCAACTACACGATACTAACTTCAAACAATAGTTTGCTAGTTGTTTTCAACTACCCACAAACGGATTTATAAAAATTATGATATTCTAAGTAGAACAATAGGAATTTAATACTACGTAATATAATGAAATTAAATTTGCAAACTACGAAGTTTTATTTATGTTTATGAATAGTATGTCGATACGATATTGATTAAGAATTACTTACGGATATATTTGGTTTGCATAAACGAATACGAATAGTATTTCAACAAATTATTTATTTGATATAAACAAATAAAATATTAAAAACTTTAATTATTATGACTTTCCTCGTTGAGCGATGCAGCCACACAATTTCACAAAAACAGTTATTACAGGTTTTATTTCACGTAATTTTGATTTCACGTAAGCTTTAAAAAAAAAATATATTTATATCATCCGTAGACGTTAGCGAGACTCGCAACTTGAATCACGCCGGTTGTTTTTTATAGTTTTTATAGTGAAGTGCGCCACTGCGCACGCGCAGGTTTCATATTGATTAATGTCGATCAAGTTTTGTGACTTGAGAAACTCTTCAAGCAACCCAACTCCATACAAGGTTAACGGCTTGTATGGAGCTTTCCATACTTGTTAATTTCCTATTCCTCACCAGGAATAACAGCCAAACAATTAAACGTCTTGAAATAGAAAATGTCGGAAACCCATTTAATTTGTTTAAACTACGATTACGATACAAATATTCCCTATCCCATACTGGGTCAGGATGGTGATCACCGCCAGTATCGGAAGCGTGTGAGATAGCTCGGTTGATTACCTGTGCCATCAGCTCAGTGGAGGGCAAATAAGCCTGTTATATTGAAAAATAATTATAGGACTTCGCTTTATTGTCCTTCTGATGTGGTAGCTAATATTCCTAGACATATGTTCCATTTTGGTGAGGTCCTGTTCGATATGGTTTTAGTTCTCGACTTATCCCGTACCGTACGTACGGTCCAAAGGGCGCATTCCCCGTGGTACCGATGGACGATAATTAATGCTATGTCGAACTATGTTCCATTGTCTTTGTGGAGGACATCAGTCTTGGGTATATTATCAAATCACATAGGCTTTTCTTTGCTCTTTTGCAGAGCATTTTTTTCTTAGCGGTAGTGTAGTTTATTTTCTGGTTAGGAAAGTATTCTTCGCTGGACCGGTTAGAGTCAATAATGGTTAAGGGGCCGTGTGGTTGGGCCCTGGGCTTTGAGCGTGGTTAAGGCTCGAAAGCACTTTAAATATCAGCAATGCTGTATTTATTTTCTTATTTTTTATATACATATTCCCTGGCATTGCTGGTGTTTACTTACCTTATTTCCTTTCCTACCCAATATACTGATTTTATAATTTTCTTTTAATATTTTAAGCCTTATTTAGTAAGCAGTTCCTTATATTTTATTTACTTACCAAAGAGAAAACTTTTACTTTTATTATTTTATGCATGACCATATTTTATCACCTTTTAGGTTTGTGCTATTTATTAGTTTGAAATCTAGTCTTTTACATGCCCTCAATAACATACTTGGTGAAACAGAACGACCGACACTCCCGAGGTTCCTGGAGAGTACTTTTTGTCTTTAATATGATGTAAAAAAAATTATTAGTCTAGGTCAAATAGTTTCGGAGATATTAAATTACAAAGTTTTTGAAAAAGAATGAGTGTTTTCAACCCTGAGTCAGCTGTTTTTGGGACGTACTAAGGAAAAGTTTTTAATCGGTTATTGACTTCTTCATTTCTAAAAACGAAATAAACTAGTTTGTGATTTATAAGACTGCTTTCATGCAAATTCTACCAGACAATCAATAAACAAGGCAGTCAAAATGCTTAAATCGATTTACAGACTAACAGCCGGTTTCTGATTTGAAAAATTCTCGGGGTTATTCTCGGGAGCACTACTGTGCACGTGCGTTCATTACATGGTATTTTAATTGTTAATTTTCGATTTATTGCACTTAGTAACAGTATTCGTGCTTTAAAGTGTAATTTAATGAACAATAGTGGCGTACAATTGAAGTTAGTGTTTGAATCAGTGTTGTTTTGGATATTTTTTAATAAATTAGTAAACACTGGTGGCGATATTACAGTGAATTGGAACTTAAAAATTTACAAATATTATAACGCATGAATAAAACTATGGATTATTGTGATGCAATTTACAACTAATTTAAAAACAATATACAGTGATCAGTTATATACTTGTTGTAATAACCTAAAAACTTAATAATCATCATAATTACCGACTTGATACCCAGCGCCATCTCTGCGTGCTCACCGGAGATAGCCTACCATTTTAGATTGCACATTGATTGCAATATTAAATCTAGCCATCGGTGCTTAATTGAGTAGCTAGAGATAAACTTTGGTGCATGTCATCGACTACAGAGGGCGCACTCTGAGATTAAGCTTTATGGTTAAACAGCAAACCTACCTTGATTAATTGTATCTGCTTTGCGCTCGCTTGTTTGCCATTAAATATGTCGAATTTGTTAACATCTGATGTTTGTGCTGGTTGTAATAAGCCGCCACCAAAAGGTGAATTTATGCGCTGCACGTCATGTAAGGCTGTCTATGATCTCGAGTGTATTAATATGAGCACTCAGCGATTTTATTCATTTTATAAGCTTGATAAGAAACGTCGTAATGAATGGAAGTGCCCTGCTTGTCAATGCAATAAGCCTAAAAATGATAACCAGAATACTCCGGTGCGGACTGCGCTGTCTCCTGATCAAACTCAAAATGTGACTCACCGAGTCAAGTCAACCTCCGCCGTCCTAACTGATACTAGTATAATAAGCTTAGAAGACAAGATTGAATCGGGTGACAGGTCGGGTGTTCAACACGCAGTCGAGTTGAAAAATTTTTTTGAAGAGATGAGAGCGGTTCGTTTGGAAATGAGTTTATTTCGTTCAGCAATATCGGAACAAACAGATTCTATTAAATCACAAAACTTGCGGCTGGATGCCCTCGAAAACAGAGTTATAGAGTTAGAGAACAGGCCCATCGAGAATGAGAATTGCACATTAACTAACTTGGAAGATAAGATAGCACATTTGCGACTGGAGATTGAGGAAAGGGACCAACAACAGCTGGGAAATGATATCGTTATAACGAACTTTCCTGAGGCTGTCAACGAGAACGTGACACATGTCATTCTTGCAATTGCTAAAAAATTGGGCTTGATGCTTGACGAACGTGACGTGGTGGCTGCATGGCGGATGGGCGTGCGAAAGGTGGGTGATAGCGACATGCAAGGAGCTCGGACTCGGCCTATCGCTGTGCGGCTGGTGCGTCGCGTTTCTCGAGATGCACTGTTGCGGGCGGCGCGTGTGCGGCGTAGCCTCACTGTGGATGATGTGACTGTATCCGGTGCTACATCTTCGTCGGCTCCGCGCCCCTTCTACATCAACGAGCGCCTCACCGCCCATAACAAGCTACTGTTCCAGAGGGTAAGAGAGGTTGCCAGGCGCCACGATTGGAGGTATGTGTGGACGCGGGAGGGTAAAATATTTGCACGTCAAGAAACTGGCAAAGGGCGGCATCATTTACGGACTGAGGCAGATCTTAGCAGAGTTTTTGGGTTTGAAACAGTTGGAGATGCCAATAAGTTATCGGAAATATCGGAAAAGTAGTGAAGGAGCTTTGAATTTGGTAAATAGAATGTATGTTAAGAGTAGGTTACTTTTGTTTTTATTTTACTCACTAGTTATAAAGTTATATCCATTAGCATTAGTGTATATTATTGTCTATTCTTTAAAACATAAGTCGAGTACAATAATAAATGTGGTCTATATACTGTTAAATAACAGGTGTACAATTATGACATATAAGATAACCAAATACTACTTCATTATATACTGTTGCTGTATTTTACAGACCTCAGTTGTTAATTTATTTTGCTTAAAACAATGTCTTATAGAATATGTTAGAACCTTTATTATTTTTATCGCTTTTTGTTACTATATATCTATAGCTGCTACACAAGTACTTCGATGTATGAACTGTAAGTGCACTGCTACGTTTCCACTATCGCACCCCATGTGTTTATGTTATGTACGAGTATATGTTGACAATTACGTGTTATTTGTTTTATATATAAATAAATATATTTTGTGCAATTTTATGTGTGCAAGTAAATCTTACCTAAATATACTAGTTTATTTAAATAATATGTGTGTATTGTTGTATCCCATTGATGAAACGCGAATGTATGTGTCGGTCGATTATTTGTATTTATCATGTTGCTATTCTGGTCTTAAAATCTTTTTAAATGAACGTCATTGTACAGTGGTTAAAAAATATTTGAATAACTATAAAATAATTTTAATTTCATTTTCCTTTGTATTTCAGTTCATTAATAATAAACTCCTGACTCTTGGGTTATTAAATCCAGGCTCTCTTGGAACAAAGCACGATGAATTTCTGGTCGCGCTCGAAAGGCAATCTGTTGACATTATGGCCATTAATGAGACTTGGCTGAATGCGGGAGAGGAGAGGCGCGCACCAATGCCGCGTGGGTATAGGCTTAGACATATTCCTCGACCGAGAGGCACCCGCTCTCGGGGCGGGGGCGTTGGTTATTATATTCGAGATGGTATTGATGTACGACAAATAAAACTTCAGCATCCTACTGTGGTCGAACAGATGTGGCTGGGTGTTACATTCAATGGGCTTAGATTTGCAATCGGTACGGCATATCGACCACCTTGGCTAAACGTAGACGTTTTTATCGATGGTCTAACAGAATCGATGAGCTCGCTCTCAAAGTTCGATAATATTGTCCTTATGGGGGACTTCAATATAAACCTGCTTATTGTTAATAATCCCGACACAAAAAAATTTAAGCGTTTTTTAAATGTTTTAACCTTATTCAATTTGTTACAGAACCCACCCACTTTTCTAACCATTCAGAAACTTTGCTGGATTTAGTTTGTAGTACATGTAAGATATCTAATGTGTCTGTCAATTATATCCCAGAGCTTAGCAGACATGCCTTTATCTCTTGTAACCTGAATATCAAAAAGATTAAATCTCCGCCGAAATGGATAACTTATAGGCCACTTAAAGATATTAATCTAAATGATTTCAATGAATTTGTCGATATCATTAAGTGGGACCGGGTGCTCGCTGACAATGTAAACGATTCGCTAGCCTCTTTTACCTCTTATTTATTGTTTATTTTTAATACTCATGCCCCAGTTAAAAAAATATTTATAAAACACCATAATCTGCCTTGGATTACACCCACCATAAAAGAAATGATACGGTTAAGAGATGAAGCACACAAAAAAAGCCGGTTCACACTACATAACATAGATATAGCATATTATAAAGACTTAAAGACTATTGTTAACAAAGCATTGTATGCAGAAAAGGCCGCTTATTTTAAAAGTAACATCAATAAAAATTCTAAAAACTCTAAAGAACTTTGGAAAAACATTAAGAGTAGCGTTGCTGATTTTAGGGGCAACCATACTGCATTACCCCCTGATATTAGTGATCCTGATATCGTGAATTCTCATTTTGTTGATGTACCCGGTGGTAATGATGTGTCTATTTCAGATCTCACTTATCTCGAGTATCATTGTTTTAGTCCTGCCACGTTTAGTCTCAGTCCTGTCGATGTAGATACTATCGCTAAAATTATTATAAAAATTAAAACTAACGCTGTAGGTGTAGATGGTATTACGCGTGATATGATTCTTATGACTTTACCAAGAACACTGAAGATTCTGACTAGTATAATCAACCAATCTATTGAGACTGGTGTCTTTCCGGATGCTTGGAAGGAGGCTCGCGTAAATCCTATTCCCAAAGTTAACAATCCTACTCAGTTAAAAGATCTAAGGCCGATTAGTATCCTTCCTTTTATGTCAAAAATAGTTGAGAAGGTTGTATGTCAGCAGTTAACAAGTTACTTGAACACAACTAATATTTTACCATCCAAACAGTCTGGATTCCAAACTGGCCGAAGTACGGCAACAGCCTTATTGGATGTTGTCGATGATATTCTTGCTGGAATAGATGTAGGAGAGGGATCTGTTCTAGTTCTTCTTGATTTTTCTCGCGCATTCGATGCCATTAATCATAGTCTGCTTTTGTCCAAGCTTTCCTTCTACGGATTCGATGGCCGTGCTTTGAAATGGTTTTCTAGTTACCTAAGTGGGCGATCACAGCGTGTTTTGGTCTGTAGTGAAGATGGAAGCCATACGGTCTCTCGTGCTATTTGTCTGGATCGAGGAGTCCCACAGGGATCAATACTTAGTCCAATTCTTTTTAACATATATAGTGCCGATCTAGTTGATTGCATTCAAAATTGCAGCTATCATATGTATGCCGATGATTTACAGGTATACTCGTCTTTTAAGCCTCAAGATACATTAACGGCTATATCTGCAGTCAACGAAGATTTGAATCGTATAAATAGTTGGGCTGCTAAAAATTGTTTGGTTCTCAACCCTCATAAATCTAAGTTTCTCATTTTGGGCTCCACTTTACAAAAAGATGTTATTGGTAACCTTAACCCAATGATTAGAATTGGAGATATATCTGTAGAACAGGTAGCTGAGGCTAGAAACTTGGGGGTGCTTATGGATAATGGGCTACGATTTCATAACCACGTTCTTGAGACTGTCAAGGCTTGTTTTTACAGGCTCAAAGTCTTGTATCAAGTACGAAACTATTTAGACGTTAGTGTTAGGGTCAAGCTTTGTGAAGTATTAATATTAAGTAAATTGAACTACGCAGATGTAGTTATAGGTGAACGTCTCTTCGATTATACCAAAAAACTCATACAGCGCGTCCAGAATGCATGTGCCCGATTCTGTTATAATGTTCCACGTAGAGCCCATATTACCCCATATCTGAATAGGGGAAAGTTATTGAATATGCAGTCTAGGCGTTCTCTACACTTTGCTTGTTTATTTTTTGGAGTTATTAAAACACAGTCTCCCTCTTATCTATTTGGTAAGGTCTCATTCTCACAACGGAAGATTTGACTTGCTTCACGCCTGATTTGTCCAAAACATAGAACGGCTGCATTTCGTGGTAGTTTTCGATATTCCGCCACGAAATGTTGGAATAACATACCTCCTCCGATAAGAAGTTGTCATAGTATTGGGAGTTTTAAAATTAATTTTAAAAATTCTTACTGAATCTGCAACAGGCTAAAACCTTGTGATTGTGGGCTGCTTTCTAATTTCTGCGTGCGTGGGCGCTCTGCAAGGAGTGACTTATTGGAATATTTATATATGTTGTAATAGTTACGTATGATGATATTTTTATATACTTTTTTTTTGCATTTTTAGTTTATTCTATTTAAATATTGTTATGAGCGTTGTGTGGCGTAGTGGTGCTCTCAAGAATATCAGGTTGCCACGGAAGATCAGCATCGGACTATCTAAGACATCCGACACATGCTGAGTGGCTGCTTTTCAGTGTTATTATAGTATTACATACTTTTTGTCTTTGTTTTTCTTGTATGGTCACTGAATAAATAAGTTTCTTTCTTTCTTTCTTTTTTTCAAAAAAGTAGAAAATTTCTACTGCTTATTCTCAATAACCTAAGTTTTTTTAATTTCACAAGTCAAATAGTCCTAGTTTTATCAAACTGCTATCAACTGATCATCAAAAAACTAAAATCACAAGCGAAAACTAAGTGATGTTAGTTTGAGACGTTTAACTTTAAATTCTCAATTAAGAAACCGAGTGTAAAATTTCCTAAATTATTGTAGAGAGATCAGTCTAACATTAACCTACGTTATTTTAAAAGAGCAGTTCTCCAAAAAAAATGTTTGAATGGGGTAATACTCCTTTAACAACGGGATCGTTAATTAAACTCGATAAACTCACAAATCTTCCAGCGATTCATCATTAACACAAATGAATTTTGTTTTAAAAACATTGAGGAATTTTTTATTAAAATAGCATTTAAAAAGAACATTAAACAATGCGTGTTATCAAAAGACGAATAAAAAAAAATGTGAACCGAGTTCGTCCCTCGATATCAAAGCCCCACCCGCCCAGGCGGCTTCATTTGAGTTTTATTACCTTTTCATTGATCAGCTATAAGTCTTCCGACAAATGAATAAATAATTGTCGTGTCAAAAATTTAGTTTATTTTCAAAGTTGTTTATGTTTAAATATCTTACGGCGAGTTTGCTTTTAGTATATCTCTTTTCTAAATATCAGCAAAGACTTCTGAATGCTATGCTGTTAAAGTCATATAAGTGTTATAAATCCTACATGAGTTATATGTATATACTATATGTGTGTGTTTTTTTTACATTTATATATTTTATTAAATGAGTTTTATTCATATTAGGAAAATGAAGGAAAGACATTACTTTTCGCAAAACGATTTAATCGGCTTCTTTCATAACAATAAATTAATAAATAATATATTCAATTATAAGTATAATTATCAATTGCATTAGAGGTATTGTAATCCTTAACGTAAAATCTTGATTGCATAAGTACAAGATGAAAGATGAAAACAATCCCTCAAAAATTTGTATCACAGAAAATACTCAAATATTGATTACAATTCATCAATAGCTTTAGCCCAGTGATAAGCTAATGTTGAATAAAATGGATGTTTATTACAATCACATATTATTAATAAATCACATTT